ATCGAATGCAGACGTTGGGAACGTAGAACTAGAAAAGGAGTTCACTGAGGACGAGGTTGAGGCGTGTGTGAACAAGCTGCAGTGCCACAAAGCAGCAGGGGCGGATGGGATAGTAAACGAGTTCATGAAGTTTGGGAGAAAGGGGATGATCCAGCTGATGGTACTGCTGTACAACTGGGTGTGGAAAAACGAGTATGCGCCAAGTAGATGGAGGGAAGGAGTGGTTGTGAACTTGTTTAAGAAAGGAGACAAGACTGACCCAGGAAACTACAGGGGTATCACACTGTTGAACACAGTAGGAAAAGTGTTCTGTAAGCTGCTGAACGATAGGATAGTGGGAGTATTGGAGAAGAAACGTAGCATTAGTGAGGGCCAGGCAGGTTTCCGACAGAAGAGGGGGTGCGTAGACCACGCATTCACGGTAGGGAGAATCATCCAAGGTAGAAAGAGGGCGGGCAAGCGGACGTACTGCTTCTTCCTGGACGTGAAAAAGGCATACGATACCGTATGGAGAAATGGGCTGTGGAAACAATTGTCCAAGTACGGGATCAAGGGGAAAATGTGGAGGGTGCTGAAGAAGATGACAGAGTGTACGAAAAGCGCGGTCATGCTAAGACGGAGAACTGTCTAAATTCTTCGACATTGAGCAAGGGGTCCCACAAGGTTGCACGCTGTCCCCAACATTGTTCCAGGTGTTCATCAACGATCTGTTGGAAGTCGTAGAGGCAGTCCGGAAGGGAGTAAAAGTAGGGGACACGGAAACTTCGGTGTCAGGAATGCTGTTTGCGGATGACTTTGTTGGTATGTCGGACACCCCTGAGGGACTGCAACTGCAAATTGACGCGGCGAAGAAGTTTACTGATAAGTGGAGATTGTCTGCCAACGTTACGAAGAGTGCCGTCATGGTATGCAACGAGGGCAGGGAGGAACCAGTAGAACATAGATGGAAGTGGGGGATCGAGGAGATTGCAGTAGTCGACCAGTACACATACCTCGGAGTAGAGATCGCAAAAGATTGCTCGTGGAATGCACACATGTCCAAGGTAGCGGAAAAGGGCAAAGCACGAGCAGGGAAGCTTCACCCAATACTCGCAAACCGGCACCTTGATACACGCATCAAATTGACGGTTTTGAAGAGCGTAATCGTACCGCCGCTGGAGTACGCCGGAGAAGTATGGGAAGGAAATAAGAAGGTAGTGAAAGAACTCGAGGCGGCGCAGATGAAAGCAGCGAAAATTATCCTAGGATGCTCCAAGCGCACAAGTAATGCAGCAGTCAGGGCAGAATTGGGGATCCAATCCCTACGGTCGGGAAGAGACGTAAGGAAGCTGACATGGCAGTACCGCATGTGCGGGATGGGAGAGGAGAGGTTGCCGAGAATAGTATGGGAGGCGAAGTGGGCAAATAAAAAGAGGGGTAGACAACCCACGGAATGGGTCAAGGTTGTAGAGGACGTATGGAAGGGATTGGACATCGACGAAGATGAAACGCTGGAAACGGAGGGTCTACAGGGGTTCAAGAAGAAGATATCTGTTGCTTGTGCCGACAGAGAAGAACAGAATCTAAGGAAAGAATCCAAGGATAAGGAGGGTCTAGAAGTGTAACGGAATGTTGAAAGAAGGAATAGGGTTCAAGGATTACCTACATGGACCAATGGATGCAGGGACAAAGCTTAAGGTCAAATTCAGGACCGGGGACATAGGCCTTCGCGAACGTCGACGAAGACATAGGACGGTAGACGACGAAGACGACAAGTTCAAATGCGATTGCGGCTTCGAATGCGAAGACAGTGTTCATGTAGTCGCGGAATGTCCGTGGTACGAAAAGGAGAGGGAAGTGTACATGACTGAGCTGGGAAGAATACAAGGGACGTACAGGGAGATGTTTGAGGCATGGAATAGAGAGGAGAGGACGGTAGCGGTACTGGGGAGTAGGAAGTGGTTTGAAAAGGCGGGAAGTGACATCGGTAGGATAGACAGACTAGGGAAGACATTTTTGAGCCACCTTTGGCAAAGTAGGAAGGAACGATTGGCCATCGGTGATCGGTCCTGTGGGAACAATGCTCCGTCCTCTCGAGGACGCGTGGTCAATGGTCTAACCGCTAAGGCATGCAAAGCATAAGAGTACGCCCCCCCCCCCCCCCCCCAC